CCCTCACGCCGCTGAAACCCTGGTTCACGCCTTTGTCACCTCAAGGCTGGACTATGGGAACTCTCTCCTCGCCGGCCTTCCCGCCACCTCCCTCCACAAGCTGCAGGTCATTCAGAACTCTGCAGCTCGTGTACTGTCCCGCACCAGGCTTCGGGACCACATCACTCCCACCCTCGCTCGCCTCCACTGGCTCCCCATCCCCCAGAGGATTGATTTCAAGATCCTCATCCTCACCTACAAGGCCATTCACGGCCTTGCTCCCTCCTACCTCTCTCGACCTACTATCCCCCTACCTACCTGCCCGTACCCTCCGTTCCTCTGGCTCCGGTCTGCTCCACGTCCCCCGCCCCAACCGCCCTACCATCGGTGGTCGGGCCTTCAGCCTCTCAGCCCCCAGGCTCTGGAACTCCATCCCCCAGTGCCTTCGCCGCTTCCTCCCTTTCCTCCTTCAAGGCCGGTCTCAAAACCTTTCTCTTTGACCGTGCCTTCAGCTCCCCTCTCGACTCTCTTCCTCCTCCTCGCTCCCTCCCTTCCCTCCCCTCACCCTGACCATTTCCCCCCTCTCTCTCCCTCCCTTCCCTCCCCTCACCCTGACCATTTCCCCCCTGCTCGGGTCATGACCCAACTGTGCAGCGCCTTGGGACGTCCTCCTGACGTGAAAGGCGCTCTATAAATGGAATCTTGTTGTTGTTGTTGTTGTTGTTGTACAGTCAATTCACTCTACAGTATATTCTGTGAGGCGCTTTTTGACGTCTCAACGACATGATAAGGAAGTATAGCAAATGTGAGGATCATCATTATCCAATGCCTCCCTCCCCCACCCCCACAGACTCTATTTCCCTGACGCTTCTTTTGCAATGGGATGGATAGTGGCTTGACTTTAATGAGGGACAATCCATCTCCCAGCTCTCATTTGACACCCATTGCAATGCACTGGAGCATTTATCAAACACCACACAGCAAGCAATATTCAATTGGAAGCTGTATGGAGAATAATGGAAAATGAATGCAACTTGAAACTTCATCATGAGCCGGGCAGGCTCCCAGATCAAGGTCGCAGATTAATTGAACACTTCGTAGAGAGTGAGAATGAATCAGATGCACACCGTTTCTCAAAACCCAGTCACAATCCATTCAGCCAGAACTTTCTCATTTTCTTTGATCCGAAAGGAAACAGAATAATCCTTACATTTAATATAAAGCCGTATTACGTCATCCATACATCTCCAAACGCAGCATAGGATTTTGCTATGAATGTGAATTTGTACAGCAATGTTCCACAAACAGCTGTGACGTGAATGATCAATTTTATTTGGGGGATTGTCGGCCACGACATCAGGAGAGAGAAACTCCCTTGTTTGTTTCCAATCTTTCACATCCACCTGAATAGGCAGACGGGACCTCTGAAGGACGTCAGCTCCAACAATGCAGTACTTCCTTTCCCCCACCCAACCCCTGCACAGCACTGGGACTTGAGCCTGGATGAACTAAGTTCATTGGATCAGTGGACTGAATGGCCTCCAAATGTGTCATACTAAATAAACTATATCTGGAATATCTACAGGGTGTCCACAAAGTCCTGTTACCCCCTTTATGTTTTTTTCACAGTCCACTGACTGACAACTGAAACATGTGGAAGAATGATGATAATTGTGTTTAGAAGTGCTTCATTGTATTCAGTACAAGTGTGTAACTGTATTTAGAGGTCCAGAGGTTGTGTGTGTGTGTATGGGTGGGTGGGTGGGTGAGTGGGTGAGTTACCTAGCTGTAAGTAGTAGCCGTAAGAACCCGATTATTAATCGATTGGTGGATTGCTTTCCATGGATAATTATCGTGGTCCAGGAGTCAAGGTTGGAGGCAGAGAGGTACAGTTGGGTGTTATTATGTAATAATAATAATAATAATCCTTGCATTTGATATAGTGCTTTTCACGTCTTTTAGACGTCTCAAAGCTCTTCACAGAAGAGACTGTAAAGTGAATTGACTGTATATTTGTGGGCGAAACGCAGCAGCCAATTGCGCACAGCAGCGTCCCACAGACAGTCGTGGATTGAAAATGACCAATTTATTATTGTTTTTGGTTTTGGAGGAATTATTATCAGGTGTGTGGAGTAAGGAAACTTGCCCAAGGTTTCGCCCTGCCGGGAATTGAACTCAGGTCTCTCACTTGCAAGGCGAGTGCTCTAACCACTGAGATACAGGACTTCACCTCAATCTTGTGGAAGTTGATCCCATGTCTGCGGACGATGTCACTAAGAGGGAGCATATAGATATTAAAGAGGAGGGGACCAAGGACAGAGCCCTGAGGAACGTTGTGCGAGTCAGTGCGGGGGCTAGAGAAGAAACCTTTTGTGGAGATGAAGTGGAGGTGGTGTGAGAGGTACGATCTGAACCAGTCAAGGACAGAGCCGTGAAGGTTGAGGTGAGAGGAGAGGCGGTGGATGAGGATAGAGTGGTCAAGTATCGAAGGCAGCAGAGAGGTCAAAGAGGACGAGGAGGCAGAAGGAGCCCTGGTTGCAGATGGACAGAATGTCATTTGTCACTTTGACCAGGGCAGTTTCTGTGCTGTAACCGAAACCCAATTGGAGCAGTTCGTGAAAGGAGTGGTGGGAGAGGAAGGAGCGAAGCTGGGAAGCAATAACTCGTTCCAGGACCTTGGAGAGGAAAGGGAGGTTGGAGATGGGGCAGCAGTTTGAGAGCTGTGATGGGTCCAGGGAGGGTTTTATAAGGATAGGAGTGATGCCGGACGTTTTTTAACGGGGTGGGAACAAAACCAGTGGACAGGGGGAGGTGTCCCCTGTGCACTGGTCCAAAAATTCATTGGAAGAAAAAAAAACAGGAGATAACAGGATTGTATGAACACATTGTGCTTCCCACATCATTTAGCCTTTGAGTCTTTGTATAACTAAATCAACTCTGCAGTGATTGCAGCCAAAAGTGACACAGAGACATCAGACCATGGTTAGCAATGAAGTATCCGTTAACTCGTCCCCTGAGGCACAAATTGATATCTTTATTGAATCGGAATTCACGCTTACAATTGCCTGGGAGGCGAGCCTGAAATTGCACCTCGCCTCAGCCTGCGAGATTTATTTTACTTTTTGTGGAGTATTGTTTAACGCGCTCGCCTCGCAAGCGAGAGGACCCTGGTTCGATTCCTGGGCAGCGCAAAACCTTAAGCAAGTTTCCTTACTCCACACATCTCTGTTTACCCAACAGTAAGTAGGAACTGGTTGTTAGTCGATTGGTGGATCGCTTTCTGGAGGTAATAATCTCTTCAAAAAAAAAAATTTGCTCACTCAGCCCACGACTATTTGTAGGTCACAGTTGTGTGCAATTGGTTGCCATGTGTCGCCCACTAAATATACAGTCAATTCACTCTACTGTATATTCTGTGAAGCGCTTTGAGACATCTCAACCACATGATAAGGCGCTATATGAAAAGCAAGAATTATTAATATTATTTGCCTGGAAATCTGTGGTTTGACTTCATAAACTGAGCCACAATTCGAAAGGGTTTTCAAACAATGCTTAAATTTTAGGACAAAATAATAATAATAATTACGTTATCCCAGAAGTAACCAAAGCGACAGGTGTTAATATTTTATGTGGTGGGTCCCCTCTAAGACAGGCGGAAGCTCGCCAGCATCAGAGATGGACGCATCCCCTTCCCTCCTCTCCACCCAGGCTCTGAGCCATCATCAAAGGTGGCCGCCTCTCCCTCCTGCCCACGCACGCTCCAAGGGCCAAAGGCGGGCATTGGAGTGATTTGGGATGGGCTGAGCCCAGACCAAGCCACCCACTGTTTATGGTGGTAACGTTTCTGACACCTCCTGCTTAAAACCCCAAAAGAATCTCGAGACCCTGGTTTCATCGGCTGCGTTCATACTGAAACCAGATTAAGTGAGCCTTGCGGGTATTTTCTAGGTGAACACAGCAGCTACTTTTTCGCACATTAATGTGCCACAAGCAGCCTCTGGGAGATTGTTAGCCAGTTCATCTCAAGAAACTCCCTTCTCTTTTCAAACACTGCTTTGGATCTTTAACGTCTACCTGAACAGGCTGATAAGATCTCATGTTTAATATCTCATCCAAAGAACGGTACCTCCGATAATGATGCAGACCTCAACAATGTATTGGGGGTCTGAGCCTAGATTGGAGGAGGCCATTCAGCCCATTGAGCCAGTTCCAGCAGTTTATTTGATTTTGGCAGATATTCTAATGCCCTTGTAAAGGGTTAATTTATTTTTTGTCGCCCTGCGGTGAAGCAAGGACTGACACAAATGTTATACAATTAATCAGTTAACAAGTAATTGAAAGAATACATTCAATTATGCTTACATAGCAATGCATACTGTAGTTCACAACGATTTAAATTGATCAAACCCAATGCTACGGGAAGAGATAGATGAGCAATGTCTAATTTAATGTCCATTTTAATGTGTCCTTTTTAATCCAAATATAAATCCATCAAAGGTATCCAAGTATTATTGTATGGTTCCCAGTTCGATATCACCCAAATGTATCCAGGTATTATTGTAAATTTAGTGTTGTTTAAATCATAGTCTTGACCTTCCTTCTTTAGAAGCTGGAATGTGGTTCACGACTCCCAAGTTCCAATTTCTTTCTTCTTTCTCTCCTTCTTTCGAATCGATCTCTATTTATACCGTTAATTGGGGGACCTTTCACCTAATGTCTTTTGTAAGATAGTTCCTTTATAAAAACAAATGCAACACAGCTCTCTCCAGCGGCAGACCATTTTTCCATGAGAAAATGATAGTTTGTTGGTTATAAATAGTCTTTTGTTTCTCCTCCTTTTGACTTAACAGGAAGAGTCACTAACATCACAGATGATTGCTCTGCTGATGACCCAGGCTGGGCTGGGCTGGGCTGTCATCAGCAGTGGCCTGCAGTATTGCGGTCTTCTTTCGCCCAGCAAATTAGCTTCTTATGTTCTTAACTCCAAAGAGACCCTGCTGACCTCCCCCCACCTCCCACCCATGGAGGATTTCAGGAACGTTCTTAACCTCAGCCTTAATTTGGAAGCTGCATCCGTACGGAAAACCAGTAGTGCAGAAAACCAACCTGCTTCGAAGAAAACCATCGATAAAACTGTGAAGGTTTAGTTATTTAGACAAATCAAAGTGAGTGACTGGGGAGCAGTAAACAGGAGCTAACCGTAAAGGCACGGCCGTTAATTAGGGTAATTGAAGCCTGTAATTCTGTCCGAGCTGCAGTTAACGTCAAGTCACAAATTGGAATGGGAATGGATTTTAATCCAGCATTGATTTCAATTGCTTTGCAAACCAAATTGAAAAGTAATGGCCAATAATTCAATGTTAATGTTCCACTGCTGTTGTCCACTCAACAACAACAACAACAACAAGATTCCATTTATAAAGCGCCTTTCACGTCAGGAGGACGTCCCAAGGCGCTGCACAGTTGGGTCAGGACCCGAGCAGGGGGAAATGGTCAGGGTGAGGGGAGGGAAGGGAGGGAGCGAGGAGGGGGAAATGGTCAGGGTGAGGGGAGGGAAGGGAGGGAGCGAGGAGGGGGGAGAGAGTCGAGAGGGGAGCTGAAGGCTCGGTCAAAGAGAAAGGTTTTGAGACCGGCCTTGAAGGAGGAGAGGGAGGAAGCGGGGAAGGCACTGGGGGATAGAGTTCCAGAGCCTAGGGGCTGAGAGGCTGAAGGCCCGACCACCAATGGTAGGGCGATTGGGGCGGGGGACGTGGAGCAGACCGGAGCCGGAGGAACGGAGGGTACGGGAAGGTAGGTAGGGGGATAGTAGGTCAGAGAGGTAGGAGGGAGCAAGGCCGTGGATGGCCTTATAGGTGAGGATGAGGATCTTGAAATCAATCCTCTGGGGGATGGGGAGCCAGTGGAGGCGAGCGAGGGTGGGTGTGATGTGCCCACTCACTTGGGCTATGATGCCTGCATCCTCTGGGTTGAGTCCCACAAATACACAGTCACTCCATTTTACAGTATAATCTGTGAAGCTCTTTCAGACGTCTCAGAGACGTGATTATCTGATGCCCCATTTTAGAGTATAATCTGTGAAGCTCTTTCAGATGTCTCAGAAACGTAATTATCTGATGCCACATTATCTTGTGATTCAAGGAGAAGGAAAAGTAAGGCTGGTCTTCCAAATACCGAAAGCTAACAACAACAACAAAATTATATTTGTATAGCCCCTTTCACGTCGGGAGGATGTCCCAAGGTGCTGGACAGTCAGTATTTAGGATCCAAGCTGGGGGTCGGGACTGGGGAGGGTTGAGGGCAGGGGGGGAAGGAGGGTGACTGAAGGCACGGTTAAAGAGGAGGGTCTTAAGACTGGTGTTAAAGGAGGCAAGGGAGGTGGCGAGGTGGAGGACTGTGGAATGGAGCTCCAGAAGGTGGGGGCAGAGTGGCAGAAGGCCCGCCTGCCAATAGGCGAGGCGGGGATCGTGAAGCAGGCGAGAGCCCGCTGAGCAAAGCGAATGGATAGATTGGTAGGGGGTTAGGAGGTCGCAGAGGTAGGGGGGAGCAAGACCATGGAGGGCTTTGAAGGTGAGGACCAGGATCTTGAACTGTATCCTCTGTGTGATGGGAAGCCAGTAGTCGGGCGAGGATGGGGGTGATAGGGTCACGGAGCCTGGTGCGGGAGAGGACACGGGCTGCAGAGTTCTGGATGAACTTAACCAAAGAGGCCGGGCCCTAAACTCACAGTGCTACCCACAATAATAATAATAATAATTTTCTAGAATAAGTGGAAAGTGGAGTCCTGTAGCTCAGTGGTTAGAGCACTCGCTTTGCAAGTGAGAGACCTGAGTTCAATTCCAGGCAGAGGGCTAAACCTTGGGCAAGTTTCCTTACTCCACACAGAGCCTAATAATAATCCTCCAAAACCAAAAACAATAATAAATTAGTCATTTTCAATCTACGACTGTTTGTGGGACATTGCTGTGCGCAATTGGCTGCTGCGTTCGCCCACAAATATACAGTCAATTCACTTTACAGTGTGTTCTGTGAAGCGCTTTGGGACGTCCTCCCGACGTGAAAAGCGCTATATCAAATGCAAGGATTATTATTATTATATTTTCCGGATTTAGGTAAACAGAGTGGTGAAAGACCCTACAGCAAACATAAGAATTATTTTTCTTATTACAAAGAGCCATGAGTTGAATGCCCCTTTTTCTTTTGCCCACAAAATATACAGTCAATTCACTTTACAGTGTATTCCAAGCAGTGTTTTGAGACGTCTCAATAATATGATTGGCATTATGTCAACTGCAAGGATTATTATTATTATTCCCTGTTGGATTAAGTGACCATATTTTTTGGCGGGGTGGGATTATCACCCCTGGAAAGCAATCCACTAATCAACTCACAAAAGGGTTCCCACTTACTCGTCGGTAAGCAGAGGTGTGTGGGCTAAGGAAACTTGCCTAAGGTTTCGTCAGTGCACTAATCAATATGCTACAGGACTTCACTCCACATAATGTGATGTTCAATATAACAGGAGTAGGAGTTTGAATGATGTTCTTGATAAAGAGCTTTTCACTGCGCTCCACTAGGATTCAATTAGCTTTCTGTGGTTATCAGTGGGAGATAATTCCTCTCCACCTTTCCAATTCCATCTGGAAATCATTTTACCCAGAAATAAATCGCGAGATCGCCCATTTTGAGACAGACCCTTATTCTGCCTGTCTTTTATCAAATGGGGCTGGTTTCAAAGGCAGGAGAAATGTCACCTTATAAATCACTGGTGTGAGACCGCACTTGGAATACTGTGTTCAGTGCTCGTCACCACAATACAAAAAGGAAATTGCAGTGATTGAGAGGACGGCAACCAAAATGATTCAGGGAATGGCTGGACTGGACTAGAAGGAGTGATTAGGTAAACTGGGCATGTTCACGCTGGCAAAGAGAGGGTTGAGGGGCAATATGATTGCGGTCTTTAAGATTCTAAAGGGACTAGGTAATGTAGACCTTGTACATTAAAGCTGTTTTACCTTGTGCTGAACAGTAGGACCAGAGGACATGGCCTGAGATTGAAATACAGAACAAATCTGCGGAAACACTACTTCAGTGAGCGGAGTGGCAAACGTATGGAACAGGCTCCTGGCGAGATGGTGGGACGAGACAGGGTCTATTCTTTCAAGAACAAATTAGAGAGATTTCTGTTAGGAAATAATAACTCGGGGATACAACATTTAGTTTGGAACACCACATGTCAAGCGACTGCCAGGATGGTGGAAAGTGAACTGGATGGACCTCAGTCTTGTTTTGTCTAGCAATTCTTATGTTCCTCTTATCTTCTTATGCATAACACAAACCCTTGGAGAGTGGAACTTGACCTTGATTTCTTGCTTCGGTGATGCAGAGCTGTCTTGAGCAATGCATGTTAGGTATGCGTTGCCAAATAATAATAATAGTAATAATAATATTAATAATAATAATATAATCCTTGCATTTAATACAGCACCTCATACGACCTCTTCGACTTGCTTACTCCCCAATGTACTACCCACTGCCTCGCCTTGACTGGCTCTGGCCTCTTGCATGTCCCTCGTGCCCTCTGTTCCACATGCGCTTTCAGCCACTACGCCCCGAAACTCTTGAACAATCTTCCTCTATCCCTCCACTAGGCCCTCTCCTTCAAACCACAGTCAAGCGCTCTGGGACGCTAACTTGTAGGAGCGGCGTTATATAAATGCACGTTGTTATTGTTGGGTAAAGAACAACTTCCTGGTATCAGTTCCTAAAATTGACTTTGCAAATTTTACCCATGTTCTCTTATTTCACTGTCTTGGGGCATCTTAAAATGTTGATGTGGATTTACAAGACCCTTTCTGAGACATCTCGTCAGTCTTTCTCGTCAGTCTTTGTAGCATTCTCTGTAACACTCACTTGTTGCTTCCCACCTGAACAACTTGGATTTATATAGAATCCTTTATATACAGTAATGTGTCACAGCACATTATAGAGTGTGATGAACACCAATCAGAGAGATTGAGTCACTCTCACTTTTCCTCTCCTCAGTCCTCCTTCCCTTTCACTCTTTCTGTTTCTCTTACATCTTCTAGTATGTAATTCACTCTTCTCTCTCATGAACATTCTTTTGTCCTTTCTTTTATCTGTTACCTCATCCACTCACACTCTTACACTGTCTCTCGTACATTCGTCACTTGTGCTCACTCAGGATTCTCTGTATGTGTGTCTATGGGAATCATTTTTCGCTCAAAGTAGACTGTTGACATGTGCAAAAGAAGAATTGGAGTGGCTATAAGTTGAGGTGCAGAAGCATATGTGCTGGGAATGGCAGGTGCTGTAGTTCTAAAGTTGTAAACCAGATTGTAAGGTAGGAGCACAGTAAAGATAGTTGTTCTTAACTTCATTTCCTGGGCAGGAAGTAATATCAAGGCAAGTATCTTAACCATGTGCCTCCTTACAACATGGTCCTTTGATGTCTCTTCCTATCTGTGGATGTACACCACACAAGGCAGGGCGAAACCTTGGGCAAGTTTCCTTACTCTACACGCCTAATAATAATCCCTCCAAAACCAAACAATAATAAATTGGTCGTTTTCAATCCACGACTGTCTGTGGGACACTGCTGTGTGCAATTGGCTGCCGCGTTTTGCCCACAAATATGCATTCAATTCACTTTACAGCATATTCTGTGAAGCGCTTTGAGACATTGAGAATACGTGAAAATCGTTATATCAAATGCAAGGATTATTATTATTATTATTGTTATTATTATTTCCAAAGAGCGCAAAGGGGTCTAATCTTTATGAGGAAGCAGAGGAAGCAGTGGGGAGAGCAATAAAAGGTGGATTTCGGATCTCTGGATGGGGTTATGCTCTCCATTGCAAGCAATCAAGGGCAGGTCTGGGAGGTAAAAATACAAAGCCGTGGAGATATGGTCCAAAAAAAATAATAATAATCATTTTGTCAATTAATCCACGACTGTTTGTGGGACACTGCCATCCGCAATAGGCTGCTGAATTTTGCCCACAAAACATACAGTCAATTCACTTTACAGTCTTTTCTTTGAACCACTTTAAGATGTGTTGGAGATGTGATAAGGCGCTATATCGAATGCAAGGATTATTATTATTAAATAGTGTTTTATCAT